GTCTCGGGGCGCTCCCCGGGCAGCCTCCGGTACCGGCGCTTTGCCCGTTCCCTTTGCACCCAAATACCGCCAGCAGTGAAATCCTGGGGCCTCAGCGGGCCTCGCGAGCTGCTGTGTGAGCCGCAGCATCCCCCGGCGCTCCGGCGCCTCCTGCAGCCGGTGTCGCAGGGCCGGGAGGGGCGGGCGGCTCTGTCCGGACAGGCCCCGCTCGGGCCGCACGGCTCCCTATGACTTAGGTCCTTGTGTCGGGGGGCTCCTGCTGCTGAGTCTGTGCTTCTCCTGCCTTGGAATGTTCGCTTGGCTGCACTCCCCGGCGCCTCTCGTGTGCAGAACCACGATTCAGCTTTGCTGTAGTTATCCAGAGCTGCTCTTGTTTCCTTCTCCAGAAAAAAAAACAACAAAAAAAGCATAAGTGGAGTATAACTAAATGCACCTTTTAGTTGACAACGTTGTCGGTATCCAAAGCCACTGATGGTCATGTCTGAGACCTCTCTGGTGCTTTTTCCTCTGTGCTTTAATTGAAAAGATTTGGGTTTAAAGCTTTCCTTTTATCCCGCTACAATCAGCATTTTTGTATTTTGTTTGTCTAGCAGATGATGATGATGAAGAAGATGATGAAAATTCTCATGCTGAAATGGTAACTGTTGTCTCTTTAAGTATATAATTCCAGCTGTCTATTGAAGGGAACGGGAGGAAGGGAAACCTCACCCTGCTCTGGGGAAGTCCAGGCAATTGCCTTGGCTTTGTGCTCAGTAAAACCCGAATTTTGGGCATTCCTGCCCAGTACTTTGTTATTCAGTGTCAGAGATTTGTTCGTGTGCCAGGGTCAGAGCTCTGTGTCCCTGCAGTCCCCACAGGCTGTGGGTGCACAGAGGGTTCAGCTGAGGATGTGCTGAGTTACAGATCTGATTGTTACAGACTTGCTTTTCACTGTTTTTTCCCTAAATGCCTTATTTGCCTCAAGGAAGTGGAAATAGGAGAAGACAGCAGTGATGATGATGATGAAGATGATATTGAAAGCCTGCCCCAGGATCCAGAAACCTGCCTGCAGATGAACCATGTGTACCAGGAAGTTATCAAGGAAAAGATTGAGGAAGTGGAGCTGCTCATAGCACAAAACAAAGAAGAGCAGGTGAGCAATGCAGGAGTGAAATGCTCATTTCTGTGCTTTTCTGTGTTGCCATTTGCAATCCTTCCTTCCCCTCAAGCCCAGTGGTTTATTTAACTGATGATTCCATGCTTTCTTACAATAAAAAATGGGTATTTTACATGTTACATTTTAGCTTGTCGGGACAAGTTACTATTTTATTGATCTTTTTTATCATCTGCACTGTGCAAACTCAGGAAGTTCCAAATCCTGCCTTTACCTCCTGAACTGATTTTGCACTGATTTGCAGATTTGAACTTTGCCTGGGCTGTTGTGAGGGTCCAGCCACTGCTCTCTGAAATCAGGAATGTGGAGGAGACACTGCTACTGTTCAATTCATTCTTGTATTGCAGAAGGAAATCACGTGGGAGCTTGAAGGTACAAAAACAGCCAAGGCAGGAGATGGCAGAAATCTACCAGCAAATGTGTTTTTGGGTCATTTTATGAAACCATACTTTAAGGATAAAGTAACAGGAGTTGTAAGTAAATATAAGCAGCTTCCAGGCTGATGTGTTTTCAGTGATGGATGTGCATTGTAATGTGTTTAAACTGTTCTCATTTCAGGGGTGTAACTGAATGTCACTCCTCAGCCTGAAACCTTTTTCCTCTCATTTGTCACTCCCTCTCTTTTGGAAATGTTTGTTCAGCCCTGTGAGTTCTGGGGAGTGGAATTGTAGTCACCAGGGGCTTGAATGTTCTTGGGTTTAATTTAACTTTGTCTTCATTTCCAGCACCCAATTCCATGCTGCTGTTTAAAGCACTCACTGAAATCTGATTATCTGTGAAACTGAGTTTTCTGAGTTTCTGAGATTTTCTGTATTTTAGTTTTTATATTTTCTGAAGCAATTATTACTACTTTTTTTCCCATGTGTTTTTAAAAGGCCATCAGCAAAAGGAGATCTTGGCTTTTTGTGGTTGCCAAGAATCAACTATCATCATCCATATATTAATATATTCAAGCAGTTACTGGTATTATTTCCATTTCAATGATGTAGCTGTGAGCTCTTGCTAACAAAGGTAACTAAGCAGTGTGAGCATGACAGTTTGCACAAGTTTGAGTTTCCACTTGTTTTTGTAGCAGTTCATGCTGGAGTTTTAAGAAGAAACAATAATTTTGTCTGACTCTCAGTGTATCTAATCCTTCTAATCTTCATCAGGGCCCTCCTTCCAATGAGGATGCCAAGGAAAAAGCAGCTCAGGGCATAAAATCCTTTGAACAGCTGCATTCAACCAAGTGTAAGTCAGTCTGGGTGCTCTTCTGTGTTCTAGAAGAGCTATAACATGTATATATTCATATAGCAAATGTATATATTCCTACTATTTAGTGTGTGTGTGTACTCCTGTTTGCAGTTAAACATCAACACCTCTGATTGATGCACAAAAAAGTCATTAAAAGGGAATGGGGTGCTCTATAAATTATTTCAATGAGTCATTAATGACTCCTTTTTGATTTGTTCTGCTGCATCAACTCTTGTGAGCACTCCTAAACCAAGTAAGGTGGTGCAAGGGATGAGGGAAGTTGAAGGGACACGTGCAGCTCCAGATGCTCACAGGGTGATTCCTTTGTTGGGGTCTCTTTGGAGATCTCAATAAAACTGTGCCAGAGGCTGTGCCTTGCCCAAGTCTGACACAGTGTTGGTTGTTTAGGCAGGGAATCTCACTGCAGAGCTGGAGGACATTCCCAGGGGTGCTGGGAGCCGTGGGTGTCTCCTGGCAGTGGTTTTGCACTGATGTCTGGCTGCTCCCCTGTCTGCTTTAGGGAAAACTGGAGAGAAGATGCTGCTGCAGAAATCTGTGGTGAGCGACCGCCTGCAGCGCCTGCTCCAGCCCAAGCTGCTCAAGTGAGTACTGCCCAAAAGTCCTCTTTTCTCCTGCTGAAAACATTGCATGGGAGAGGAGGAGAAGGGAGATGTGGAGATTTCACCTTCCTCCAGCAAGTTCTTGTGTTAATTGCTTGTGTTTGTGGGATTTTACAGCCATCTATTTCTTCCCATTGGCACTGTGATGTAACTTAAAATACTTGGCAGGGCTTGAAGCTGAATTTGTGGTGAGGCTTAATGGTGTGTCCAGCAAGGGATTGCTGTGCTGGGGCTGGCACAGTCTTCATGGCTGTTGCAGCAATCATTGGTTCTCTGTGTAAACACCAAAAGGGTTTATCTGAAACCTGTTGTGGGTCAGGGATTGCATTGAAGGGGCAAAAATATGGCAATGAGTGTGCCCTGTGAGTAAACCTGGGAGAAGAGTTTTGTGTGGAAATAAACTTCAAGGGGGGAGTGATAGTGGTGGGGAAGTTGTCCCTGCTGAACGTCTTCTGATGCCATTGACCTCATTCCCATCTAGCCTGTTAAGTAGTGATAAAAATGTCTTTGAACAGGTTGAGTTATTGGAATCAGAAACTGGAGAAAGTCAAGACTGAAACAGAAAAACAGATCTTGGAAAAGCAAATCAAAGACTTGGAGCGAGAAATAGAGGCAATAAAGTAAGAAGTCTTTCTATGTTCTTGGTGAAAAATGAAATGTCTTAGAGTTTAGCTCTAAGAGTTCCCTCCTTCTTCTAGATGGGTCATTGGTGTTGGGTTGTAAAAAATTAGGTGTGGTTGTGGCCCTGCCTGCAGCTCTCTCATCTCCACATTTTACTAAGAAATATGTTTGGGTTTTGATACACAAAGTGTAGTGCCTGCATCCAGTTTAGAGGTGCTGCTTTAAATGATTTTCTTTAGCAACAAAGGAGCAGAGCTCTGGGTTTTTTTGTATTTTTGAGCTTTTGCTCATGAACAAATCTAGAGCAGTGTATTTAAATGGACATGGCATTAATTGTTTCTCCTGCTAATCTGAGTGCTCAGTTCTTGTGGAAGTCAGGAATAGGTGGGGGTAATGAGATGAGGCAGGATCAAGAAGACAAAGTGTTTCATTAACCATTTAATATGATTCTTTCTTCTTCTTCTTTGTACCTTCTGCTTTAGCCAACTCCCAGAAAGTGACTTAATAGGAAACAGATTTGATGAGCATGACTGGGACAAAATTTCAAACATCCATGTGAGTTGGGTGAACAGCTTTTTTTATTACAGCTGTTTTATTGCTTCTGATATCTGTGTCCTTCCTCTTGAGAATCATCTGACCTGGTTTGCATCCAGTGTTTCCATCTTGCATTTCTCCAAGTTGACTGTTAAGTAATCTCAACTTGTTAAATTTGGTGATTTAATTCTGGGAAACTTGGCAGTAAGACATATCTGGAATGTGAAATACTGGTTTTCCTGTTTGTCCAGGTGCCTTAATGAAACTGCGGCTATGAAACTAAACATACTTTTGTTGTTTCTTTTAGTTTGATGGACAACGTAGCTCAGAAGAACTGAAGAAGTTTTGGCAAAATTGGGAGCATCCAAGCATCAACAAAAAGGAATGGACTGAGGAGGAAATAGAGAAGCTGAAGCAGATAGCAGCTAAATACAACTACGTGGACTGGCAGACCATTGCCCAGGAGCTGGGGGTAAGGTCTGAGCTGCCAGGTTGGTTCATTCTGGCTTTACTTTGCCTCTTGTCAGGTTTAAAAAACAATGTTAATACTAATTCACTGTTAATTAATGATTTCTGAGGAGTGTCCAAGAACAGTACCAAGAAGGTTTGGTACTTTAGCTTTTCCCTCTTGCTTTTTGTCCTCCTAAATAACCAGTTACCTGCTTCTCTTTGTTTTCCTTGAATTAAGACAAACAGGACACCTTTCCAGTGCTTGCAGAAATACCAAATCTACAACAAAGATTTAAAAAGGAAAGAATGGACCAAGCATGAAGATGAGATGCTTTTAGAGCTTGTTCAAGAGATGAGAGTGGGAAGCCATATCCCATACAAGAAAAGTAAGTGACCCACAAGTGACAAACCTGTCATTCACCAGGAATGCTTCACTCTCCCATTCTCTTTTCCTTGGTGGAAGCTGTGAGCTCTGCCTTTCCTGTACCTATCTGGAGTTTTATTATATCAGCAAGAATTTAATATCTTTTGGAACCTTTATCTGTATTGGAAAATTGGCTGAAACTGGCTGAGCACTGTTTTTTAAGAGATTAAAGTGCTTCTTACGGCAATCACTGATTGCAACTGTTAACCAGATAAAGGAAGAAGCATTAATTACTACAGAGTTAAATAAATCTTTTAATTTCCAGTTGCTTATTACATGGAAGGAAGAGATTCTGCTCAGCTGATTTACCGCTGGACGAAGAGTGTGGACCCCAGCTTGAAGAAAGGACCCTGGACACCAGAGGAAGATGCTGTAAGTTCCATCCTCTGGGCCTGGAATTGCAGGGTGGGAATGTTGGACTGCTGGGGTGTGGCATGGCTGTAGATCTGAGCTTTAGCAGTGGCACAGAGGGTAAAACAGACCAAGGTGGGCACTTTACAGCTCAAGAGGGCTTAGAAGCTTCTAGTTTTGTCCAGAGATTTGCACAGGAAACAAACAGAACTGCTGCTGTCTCAGGCCCATTAGGGTTGCTTCTGGTGAGGATCTGAGCTCTTGCTCTGTCTGGTGCACACAGATGCTGATGGCTGCAGTTAAGAAGTATGGGGAGAAGGACTGGTACAAAATCCGGACAGAAGTGCCGGGCAGGAGCGACGCCCAGTGCCGGGGCCGGTGAGTTCAGGCACCTGCCCCTGAAATAAGGGAAAGCTCTGGGTAGCAATGCTGATTTTCTTCAGCCTTGGAGTGCAGTGATAATCTGATTTTCACAATCAGGATTGAATGTTCCTGACTGTAATGTTTTCATTTTGAAGGTATTTAAAAGCTTTGCACTGGGATGTAAAGAAAGGCAGGTGGAGTTTGGAGGAAGAGGAGAAGCTGATTGAACTCGTTCAGAAGCATGGCCTGGGTAGGTGTTTCTGTGGTTTAATCTATAGAAGTTTAGAGATGTCATTGAGGTTTTCTCTTCTTTCACTGTGAGTCCTGCAAGCTCTGCTTTGTACTGATGATTGCAACATCTTTGTATTGTGTGTTATGGGTATTAAGGGTCTGAGATCCATTCATGCAGTGACTCTGTCTCTTATCCAGGGAAATGTATAACAAATGTGTAATGGCTGCATTGAAAGGCCCCTTGCTCAGTTTGTGGCACAAATGAAAATGTTCTGTGTCCTTTTCAGGTCACTGGAGTAAAATAGCTTCAGAGCTGCCACATCGGACTGGCTCCCAATGCCTGAGCAAGTGGAAAATCATAATTGGCTCTAAGGTATTGTGGAAATCCTGCTGTGTCACAGTGTCATCTCTTCAATTAAGTTTCTCTAAACTAAAAGTGGAATCCTGTGAAATCAGTAAAAAAATTGACATCGATTTCACACAATCAAGGTTTTTGTTGTGGATTTCACAGTTTATTTCTTTGGTGGGTAAAGCAGCCTTTGTTCTGAAGGGTTGAAGTTAATATGCTATATATTTGTATATTATCCAGAGTTCTTTCCTGCCTTGAAATGCCTGTAAGGATGGGATATATGTAGGTTTTCATGTCTGTACCTCATGAGTTGCCAGTTTTGGTCCCAGTTTTGGTCCCAGGCACTCAAGAAATTCTGGTTGCTTAAGACTATATTGAAGATGGACTTGTTTCAAAAATCTCATTTTCTTTGGAAAAGGAAACTTCCTGATTTGAGAGAGTTGCAAGCCAGGGGTGAACACTGACTAAAACTTGTGTGTGCTTGTTTTTCCAAGAGGAAAAGATCTAGGGCGACCAAACAATGCAACAGTGAGGAGAGCTCCAGCCTGTCAGAGAGCAGCGGTGAGGACATGGAGCTGGACCTGACAGACTGCACAGAGGAGGAGGTGACCAGAACCACCAGGAAGGAGTGTGCAATCCCCAGCATTGACCTGTGGATACCAACAGGGACAGACATTCAGGAGGTAGCCAGAGAGAGATACCAAATCCAATCCCTCCTCTCTGCTGCCAGGGCTGGCACAGGGAGCAGCTGCGGTGACATTCCAGGGGCAGGATGTGATGAAGACAAAGCTGTTGATAAATCATGTGAGCTGAGCACCCTGCTGAGGGGCATTGCACAGCCCTATTCCACAGATGTGCTGGTGAAGAATGCAGAAGAAGTGATAGCCAAGGTGAGCTGGGATGGGAGCTTGGATCAGAAGTTAGAAGGGAAGCGCAGCTGCTGCAGAAAGGGCAGGATGTGATGAACAGATAACATCTTGATGTTCATTCCCTTGTTAAATCAAAAAATGTGAAGATAATTACCCAGTCAATTCTGGTTTTTGAGTTTTTGGTAGATTCCTCACAAAAGCTTTTATGAAATAGGCATTTTGTGTTGTGATGATGCACAAGGATTAAAAGTAAAGGTCTTCAAAGTTGATTTCATTTAATAAGATACCTTCAACAGCAGGAATGTTGAAAACTTGTACCTGCTGTGCACATCCAATGCAAATAATTTTCTTGGAGTGACTTTCCCTTCTGTCTTTTCTTGTGTGCTTTCATCTTCAGGCTTCCCAGTGTGGAAAAGAAGTGCTGCAGGTTAGCCTGGAGGATGTGAGAACAATATTAAGAAATAACACGAAATTCCAGAGGAAACTAGTGAGTGCCTCTTGTGTCTTGTCTGCTTCTGTGACATGAGCACTGCCAGGCTGTGCTTTGTAGGAATTAATTTTTATATAATTATAGATCTTGCACTGTAATCCCAAGAGGAAAACTCACAGTTTTTTGCCCTAACTGCCCCATGAATGTTTTGTCCTGGGACTGATGGCAGAACCTTCCTAATGAGAACTCTTAATTGTGTGTTTTTTCATGCATGGCAATTACAGATACTAAAACCTCCTGCCAGCCTTTTAGCCAAGCCCCCTGGAATGGTTGCAGATGCTGGCCAGGATGTCCAGGAGCTGCAGGAGCTGCCAAGGAGAATTCGGTACAGGTACAAGGAGCACTGGAGGAGGCTGAGCCTGGACAGGAAGCTGCTGATGGCAGTGACCCCTTGGGTGGGCAATGTGCTGCTGCCCTGCACCTTGCAGGCTGGGAGGAGAAAAGGTATTGGAGACCCATCCTACCTTTGTCCCTACTTTCTGATGTCTCCTGAGTGAATTCCCAGCTGATTTTGATGTTGGATTTCTTTCCAGCTGCTGCTATTCACAACAATAAGTCAGTTGGTCTCACCAGCACTCCCCTGTTTGCACTACTCATTCAGGCAAGTTTTACTGTCCTAATAGCATTACTTGCTTTCCAACAGTGGGATTCTTTATTTCTCAGTATTTGAGGCTTAAATAAATGGTTTATCTTTGTTTCTTAAAAAAAATAATCTAATTATTGGACTAACCTGCCTTCATGGTTTGCATATGAAATTTCTTAAATAAGTCCTGCATCAAAAGTCTGATCCTGCCAGGGCTTTTTCTCTAAGTGTAAAATATCCCAACAATGTGTGAAGTGTGTCCCCTCTATCTTGCTTTGTCACTGACCCCACCAAAACATTTTTGTTCTCCATCAAATGTTAATGAAGCTCTCACCTTGCAGCTCTTCCAGATTGACACCAAAGGCTGTATGAAGATTATTAAGGAGAGGAGGCTGAGGCAGTTGGAGCTACATGAGGCTAATGCAAGGAGCCCTCAGCAGGTATTGTGTTTTTAAGCTTTTCCCATTGAAGTCTTGACTACAATAAGCACTTTCATTGTGTGGCCACACAGTTTATATGTGTGTTAGCAGTTTGTTTTGGTTCAGAGGCAGAATAAAATGCTGGCTGTATGGCCATTTGTTCAGGAGGTGGCAGATGTGGGTTTGATTCACATATGTGCTGTTTTAATAATCTTTAAATTTATCAGAAATATAATTTAATATACTTTTTTTTTACAGGCTTCCCAAAATACAGAGACTTCTTCAGGTACCTACCAGAACATTTATTTTTATGGTGTACAAGAACTTTCACATAATTCATCACTGTTACATTAATAACCAGTTTAACTGAAGGAGAACTTTGGGGACAAACTTGTACTGTCATGCTCGTTTTTGCTAGCTCTTGGATCTTTAAACATGTTCCCCTTTGGTAAGGACTGAAAAAAAACCCTGGAGGGCTGGGGAGCCAGTGGCACTGGACCAGTTCAGGGGGGTGTTAAGGTACATTGGTGGCCCATCTCTGATTTCTGGGGGCAGTTACCCCTTGTTCAGTTGTCAGGACATGGCTTGATTAAATCAGGACTGTAGTGTTGTAGGAATTCTCACAAATGGGAATTTTGACACATTCCTTGATGTTTAATGAGAAATGGCTTTTGGAAATACTGTTCATTCACTGTCACTTTGTGTCCTCTCCTCTGCAGGCAACTCATCCCAAGCTTGTTCTCAGAGGAATTCCCAACAGGGCAATCCGAAGGGTGCTGTCAGGAGACAACCTGCTGTGAGACCAAGGGACACTCCCACTGATGCCTGGGAGAGCTGTGCCCCAGCTGGGCAGGGAGCCCCCCCAGCCCAGTGGCAAAGGCAGAAGCCTAAAACTGTCTCACAATTGCTGTGGGAGAAGCGTTTAAAGGAGTCCCAGGCCAAGAACATCATGCAGAGGACAGTGCTGCTTGCCCCACAGCAGAGGCCAGCCAGCCTACTGCCTGCTCTTGTCACTCCACAGGCTGCTTCTCCCGGGGTTCCCAACAGCATCCTGCCCTTCAGGTGGGTTGTGACCGCCCAGGCTCTGTTCCCCTGTGATGTGCAGGCTGTGGTGGGTGTTCCCCAGGTAATGCCAGCTGCTAATGGGAGAAATCAGTTTCAGACGACTGTGATTTCCAATGGCAATGTCTGTGCTTTGGGAGAGACTCCTGTACCAGCTGGAGCAAATCTGCCTCACCCCAGCAGTGCAGAGACAAAAGGACCAAGTTCCCAGCTGAAAGGAGTTCCTTTGGGAAAGGCAGCTGACCAGGGCACAGTTCTCTTACCTGTGGCCTCAGGGAGTCCTGGATGCACCACATCCACTATTTCTGCTGTAACCCCTGTGCGTTCAGGTGGCTCCTCCATGGCTCCAGATTCCTTTGCAGCTCCAGCTGCCAGCCCAGTCCTGTGTGCTGTGGTGCTGCCTCAGACACAGCTCCCTGCCAGCACTCAGGGCTCTGGTTCCCAGCCTGTGCCCAGTCTCACCAGCTTGGGAAGGAGCAGTGACTCCATCACAACAAACAGGTCATCCTTCAACCCAGACAGCATCAGGAAACGGGCTGTGCCCTGTCCAGGAGCTGCAGCTCCTCACAACAATGTCCCAGGGAGCTCTGGTTGTTCTCGTGCCCAGGCACTGAGGAACAGACCCATTGCCTCCAAACCACCGAGTGCTGATGTCCCCCCCCAACCAAGCACTTCAAATGCAGAGAAGAATCTCCTTGACTTCAGCCTGATCTCCCTGGAGGACGAGGGGCTGGTGAAGGAGTGGCTGAGTGGGAAACAAGGTGTTCAGGTGCCATCACTGCAGACCAGGCTGCCTTATCTGCCACCTTTCCTCTGCAGTATAAAAACCCTCTCAAAGCTCCTTGTGCAGAAAGCAGCTCTGGAAGAGCAGGCAGCCTCTCTCCTGCCCTCTGAAGCCAGTGGGGATGGGAGCACTGGGGATGTTTTCCACGCTATTGGAGAACTGGTGCAGCAGAAACTGGGTGATAACCCTGCTTACCTCCTGCTGAAAGCCAGATTCCTGGCAGCCTTCACACTCCCAGCTGTCCTGGCAACTCTGCCTCCTCCCAAAGTGACAACAACTCTGTCAGCCGGCGTGAAGCAACATGAGGAGAGTGATGACGAGTGGCAGAGTGAGAAAGAAGTGTCTGAGGAAGAGAGTTGTGGGAAAAAATTACCAGGAGTACGAGAGGACTGGAGACTTAAGGATGAGCCTGGAGACAAAAATGCTGATTTACTAAATCAGGTAAAACAGATTCCAGGGGCTAAAAGCAGAAAATCACTGCCAGATAAATATTGCACTGGAATCTAGGGGGAAGCCCCCACTGTTCTTAAGTGTAGCAGAAATTTGGTCCTTTTGAATAAACACGGTTCTACAGCTGATGAAGGGAAAAGCTCTGCAGCTCAGCTAGGAGGGTGAAAGCCCATGGCTTAGGTAGCACCTTAAACTTGCCATGACAGTTCCCAGAAGTGCGCATCAAAGCTCCCTTCCCTTTTCTGTTTATAATCTGCTGCCCTGGCTCTTGAATTTTTCAATTCAGGCCTTTGTTTTCACTCTGTAAATTGGTATTTTGTGCATTGTCTGACATTGGTAATGGAATGTTGTCCCGTGCTTCAGTTTGAAGGTAAATGAAAGATTGTTTCAGAAATCTTGCTGAGCTGCCTAAATCAGGAGGGTGGCTGAAGGGGTTATTTGTAATTCTCGTGGTGTTGATCATCTCCTGCTTCTGTTGCAGGGCATGAGGGCTGAGGAGAGCCCTGCTCAGTCTGCCCTGGGCTCCTGCACTGACGAGGATGATGCCAGAGCTCCCCAGCTCAGGAGAAGTACCCGCCTCAGGAAGAGGAGGAGGAGGATATGAGAAGGAAATGTGTCAGTAGCTCCTCAGTGGTTTGTACATCTTGCTGAGAAGCTGAACCACATTTGTCTGTGGTTCAGCTCAGACAGTGAATCATGACCCCAGGAAAGGACTGAAATGATCTCTGCTCTTGTTCCCTGAGGACACAGAGTTCTACAGTCACCATCAATCACAGCCTAAGGCTGGTAACATTTTGGGGAGAGGGAAAGTTGATGTCTCTATGATAAAATTATGTATAAACTCATGAAATTCCAACATTTGGCAGCCTTTCAGTTCATGCCCTGAACCCTACTTAGTATGCACCTAATTGGTAGCACTCTACAGGCTTGACAGTGGAGTTTTTCTTTAATACTTCATCTTTGAGCAGCTTGGTGGGGTTTGGGGTTTATTTCCCCTATTTGGCTTCATTTCTGTACAGTTCTAACAGCTCACCTTCTGCAGGGTGCAAATGGGTGATGTCCTAATACCTGCTGAGGCTTTTGGTGCACCGGATGGAATGAACATGAAAAGTGTTTGATTCACATGGTTGTCAGATGAGACTGATTGAGTATTTTTTTCTTGAAAATACATTTCAGGAACTCCAAAAAATGTCACTTTCCTGTAAAAATGCTGTGACTGATAGGAGCTGTTTGTGCTTTGTTACAGGGGTCACTGGAGTGAGCTCTGCCTGCATGGCAGAAGGAGATAATCTTTGCATTGTTCACTTTTACCACCTCCAATGCTTACTTGATGGACCTGGGGAAGAGGAAAATGCTGGATTGATTTTCCCATCCCTCAACAAAATCTGCATCTGTAGGCAAGGTGTAAAAATGAAGGAAACTGTCTGGAGGGAAATCTTTCAGGCACAGACTTCTGCTCTTTCAAACTCCCACCTGCCATAGATGCTGAGGAGGAATATTGCTTGAAATCCGGGGAAACGAGTAATGGTGGTTATTTATTTCCTTCTTGTGTTAGCCCCTATTTATGTGAATGTTTATCCCTGTTCAGAATATGTTAATTGGGTGTTTTTTAGTGCTGTGGCAGTGGCTTTGCTTGGTAACTGACTGAATACTGTGGAATAAGCAGCACATTAATTTTGTATCAAAATGACTCTTTAAGTATTTGTTGAAATACAGATGTTTTATTTTTCTCACTTAAAAATTACTGATGTGTTCTGTGTGGGTTTTTTTCCCCTGGTAAATAGTGCTTTTAATAATGTGTGTATGAGAGTGATTGCTAATGAGAAAAATGAAGTTTTCAGGCTGCATGAAAACCAGGGAAAATGGGGAGAATGAATATTCATGTGCCTAAAACTGCAGGATTGAATTAGGATTCTTTCTTGATTCTTCCACAGCCTGCCCTATACAGACATCACAAATCACTTTAAAAAAACTTGTTTCTTCATTTATAACCCAGCAATTTCTGTCTCACAGAGAGGTGCAAGGTTAGCTGAGGCAAAGCTGATAAAACCTAGAGGGAAAGTGCTGTGAAAGCTTCATTCCCCTGCACTGACTGAACTTCCCTGAGTGTAGTGGGGAGTTTGAGCTTTTCCACAGGGGCTCTTCAGGCAGAGCTGGGGACAGAGGGTCACCGGGTGCCAGTGTTGCTATAATTTGGTGTCAAGACTTCATGGAACAATAGGAATGATTGTGGAAGGCTCTCCTCTTGGCAATGTACTCTTCTTTCCATAGGCCACTATAGATAGCAGTTTTCCAGGAAATTCAGCTGTGGCAGGAGCTGCTGCACAGCTGTGCCTGCTGTGTCCAGGCTTTTGCAGTGAGGAACTGGTGGAAAAGGTGAACTGTGTTCTAAATCTTTGTTCGCCTTGGCAAATGCTGCTCAGAAGATGCCCTTGTCAATTATTTGTGGAAAAACTGCATAAGCAGCAGTTGGCTTTGTCCTTTATCAGGATTAAATTGATTTGTCACTAGAATAAAACCTCCCCAGGCTAAATTGGTCAATTAACAAGCACACTGATTACCTTCAGCAAGGGCACAGCTGACACAAGTACTGCATCTTTTTTTAGTGTAAAGCTAATTTAATGACAAGAAACACAGACTGGAACAATCTCTGAGCATCTCTGCCCTACTCCTAATGATAACATGGAAAAACTCTTCATAAACTTAGAAAGCAGAACAAAGAGTAGAGTGGGAAGCTGATGGGAACATGTGTCATGCTGCCATGGCATCAGAGCCTGTGTGTTCTCCAAGCTTTTTTAAAAAACACTCTGAGTTCAGCTCCAGGGCTGTGGGAAGTGGGGGAGGCAGGCTCAGGTCTTCTGGTGATGCTCAGCATCATCACAATGCTGCTTGCTGGGCTGCTCCTTTATTGCTGCCATGGCCACAGCTTGTCATTTGGGAACCATGGGTGATGTTCCTTGCTTTGCCAAGACTTTATTCCCTTTCCCTTTCTTGTCATAATTATGCTGGAAGCTTGAGGACATCCCAAATTAGAGGTGAAAAGATAGAAATCATTCTTTTCAGCTGAACTCTAAACTGAGAGTGAATTTTTGCTGCCACCTGTTTTCCTGGAGAAAGATGTTAACAGCTGGAAAGCCTTTGAAGATCCTCTTTCTTCTAATTGCGTGGCTTGTTTTGTCCCCTGGAATCAGCTGCACACACCTATGGCTGTGACTTTCATTCTTTTTAGTCTTTCTGACCTCTGCACAAGGAAACTTTCTGGACCCCAGCAGGTACTTCAGTGGGACAGATTAGAAAACAAAACCAGAATTAATCTGAAGTCATTGCCTATGTGTTGCTGCTGACTCACGATGCCATTACCATCTTTCTCCTCTCGCATCACCCATTCTGGCTTCCCCTTTTCTTATTTATCTCTTTTTTTCTTCTCCTTCCCTTTCCTGTGGTATAGCTGAGTAGTTTCCCCTTTTTTCTCAAACGAGATTTGTTCCTGGAATTATCTTTTCTCTAATCAGAATTCAGAGGGAGGCTACACCCAAGACAGGTTTTCTCAGAACCAAGACACAGGAGGAGAATCAAGGAAGCTTTTGTGACTGCAGAGGTGAAGGTTGGTGATACAGAATGGCTGATATTAACAGGGGCTAAAAGTTTATTTTACAGTGAGGTAAAGTGTCAGCTCTTGTGGGTGGTAGATTTATTGTCTGTGTGGTCAGACAGAGCACAGGGATCTCACTGGGAGGTGGAGAGGGAAGAGTGAACTGCTTGTAGAGAAGAGGCAAAAGCTGATTGAAACACTTCTGCATTCTCAGTCTGTGATGTCCATGCTTTCACCACCGCTGCTCTGGGGCTTAGGGGCTTCTTGATTGGTTTTTTGGTGTTTTTTTCCAGACAGGACAAGGCTGCTCAGTGATTCCCCCCACTGCTGACATGCTGGAAGAGGACAATGATGAGATCTGTTGGAATAACCTGGAGAATTTCCGTGTGAAGCTGATCTCAGTGATTGACCCTTCCCGGATCACCCCTTACCTGCGCCAGTGCAAAGTGCTCAGCCCTGATGATGAGGAGCAGGTTCTCAATGACCCCAGCCTGGTCATGCGCAAACGGAAGGCAGGTGGGAGCACTTCAAGTGCTTTTGTGGGGTATCCAGGCCAATGGCCTGGAATGGCCTGGTTTGGGATTCTCTGGGGGGTTGGACACTGGAAGGACTGCCCAGGGAGGTGCTGGTGTCACCCTCCCTGGAAGTGTTGAAACAAAGCCTGGATGTGGCACTTGGTGCCATGGTCTGATTGACAAGGTGGTTCAGTCATAGGATGGACTTAATGATCCCAGAGGTCTTTTCCAACCTAATTTATTCTGTGATTAGATCCCAGGGACTTTTGCATGGGGAGGAAGTGAAGCCATTGTTTCTTAAGTTATAAAAAGATAAAGAGAGAAATAACTGTATAGAATATCCTGTTGCTACGATTTCAGGTGTTCTCCTGGACATTCTTCAGCGAACAGGACACAAGGGCTTTGAGGCGTTTATGGAGAGTCTTGAGCTTTATTATCCCCAGCTGTATAAGAAAATAACAGGCAAAGAGCCCAGCAGGGTTTTCTCTATGATTATAGGTAATGTTTGTGTTCTCAACAGCTCTTCCTTTGGTGCTGCTTAGCAGAGTCAGGAGCATTCCCTGCCTTGCTCCATGTGTGCTTTGGAAGGGTTCTGGGAAGGGAGGCTGGACTGGGGAGCGGGGGGAGGAAGCAGAAGGGTGAATTCTTCCTTCTGCCTGTTGTGTCAGTGATTCTGTGGTGCAGGAAGGCACAGAGCAGAGAGGCACAGTGGGGATAATTTGATCCCCACACATCATCAGGGCTGGCTGCAGTGATATGGAGGGGAAACTGAGCTCTGTGTGTGCCAGGACAGCAGAGAGTGACCCCTGCCCCCCCAAACAGACACGGCTGGCGAGTCTGGCCTGAGCCAGGTGCTGATGAACGAGATCATGAAGCTGCAGAGCGCGGTGCAGGAGGAGCGGCGCAGGGCGCAGGAGCTCACGGTGTGGCTGCACTCCAAGGAGGACACCCTGAGGGAGATGTGGGTCAGGGACAGCCTGCTCCGCAAGCACCAGGAGCGGGCCCAGAGGATGAAGGAGGAGAGGGACAGCCTGAGCAAGGAGCTGCGCAAGTGCAAGGACGAGAACTACAGCCTGGCCCTGAGCTACGCCAAGCAGAGCGAGGAGAAGAGCGCAGCCCTCATGAAGAACAGGGACCTGCTGCTAGAGGTCAGTCACAGTTTCTCCAGCTTCCCCCTTCTTACCTGGCCCTGGAAGGCTGCACTGAGCACCTTGTCTTTGCCAAGGATGCTCCAGTCCAGCACGAAGCACTGAGTATCTTCTCAAGCAGGTGTCTTTGGGGTGCCTAGCTCAGCCTGTAGGCCGTATTGCACAAGCTGTGCTGTGAATAATGACCAGTCTTTCCCTCACTCAAGGCTGCTCTCACAAGGGCAGCACAGGAACATGTACCTGCTAGCACACAGGCGGGACTCTGGTCCCCTGAGCACAAAACTTCCTGAGGAAAACAGAGCTGGACAGAAACTTGCTGGGGAACAGAGAACTGGTTTTGCAGGCCAGAGCTTTCTCCTTGCTCCTGCTGAGCTCTGAACCTTCTTGTAGATAGATCAGCTGAAGCACAGCCTGATGAAGGCTGAGGATGACTGCAAGCTGGAGAGGAAGCACACGATGAAGCTGAAACACGCCATAGAGCAGCGCCCCAGCCATGAGGTGGTGTGGGAGATCCAACAGGAGAAGGAGCTGCTCTTGGCCAAGAACCAGGAGCTGGAAAACACTCTGCAGGTTGGTGGGGTGGTTGAGTATGGACTCAAGGGATTATTTGTAGCAGCCAGGGCAGCGATGCTGCAGTGAAGATTGTAGGGGTCAGTGGTTCCTCAAGAGCCGTGACAAGAGAGAACTGATACGGAGTTAGGTGGTGGCCCTGTCTCACTTCTTCCTTTGTCCTGCAGGTTGCCAGGGAGCAGAACTTTGAGAAGAGCCTCTCCAAAGAACCTCTGGAGAATGACTGCAGCCAGACTGTGGAAGAACGCCGGGAGCTGGTGAACACCATTTACAGCCTGCGCAAGGAGCTGCGCCGAGCCAAGGTGCTCCAGGACAAAGTAGGTGCTGCTGTTCAAGTTCCTGCTGAGGGCCACAGGTAAGACAGGCAGGTGAAGCACCTGCAGTGTCTTGCCTGTGGAGCAGAGCAGCTGCTCAGGAGCAATCCCTGCTGTAGTACCTGTATTTCAGCACTCCACCTGTGGCAGGTGACAGCTCAGACACCCCATGGAGCTCTGGCCAGAGCAGTCTGTGCCACAGAGCAGGAGTGGGGACAGTCTGGCTTAGACTCTGCCCACAAGCAGGTGCTTTTGACCTTGTGTCAGCAGTTTGCAGAGGAAAAAGAGGTGCTGGAGCTACAGTGCACATCTCTGAGGAAGGACTCCCAGATGTACAAAAGACGGATTGAAGCCGTTCTGCAGCAAATGGAGGAAGTAGCTCTGGAGAGAGACCAGGTGATAAAACATTCTTCACAGCTTTTTGGGCAGACAGTGCCACCCTGTCTGTGCTGTTGTGTGAATACCACGTGTTGTCCCTCTGCACAGGCTCTCCTGACCCGAGAGCAGTTCCATGTACAGTATTCCAAGAACCTGGTGGAGAGAGACGCCTACCGCAAGCAGATCCGGGAGCTGGGGGAGAGATGTGACGAGATGCAGCTGCAGCTCTTCCAGAAGGAGAGTCAGCTCCTGGCCACTGAGGCCAAGCTGAAGAGGCTGCAGCTGGAGCTGCCCACACTGGTATAATTCTCCTCCCCTTGGTGGGATTGGGAGGCTGAGGACGGGGTCAGACTGTGGCTGTTCCTACGCCTTTGCACCTGAGCAGCTCCAGCTCATCAGGCAGTGAACACACCTGCCTGAGCCACCATCAAAATTAATTAAAACCATTGCCATGCAAATGCTTAGTATAGAAAATGAAAAGTGTCATGCTTTCTATGACCTCACCCTGGTTTCAGGCATGGAAAAGCTGGACAGATGCAAGCTCAGGCCACCTGTGTTTGTGTTTGGAGCATTTGTGAGGGGTTCCTCAACCACCAAAGGGTGACTCTATTTAGAGACTGGATGTGGGCCATTTGGATGAAATGGGGAGTTAAGTTTTCTGCAACTAAATTAGATATATTTTAATTAATATGGCATCTTGTATACTTTCTTGAGTGGCCAGACAGGGGTGTTGGAAGCAGCAAGTCCACTCGTCTCTGCTTTTTGGAGCTCTCACTCTCCTGTATGTTCCCTTGCTGTTGCTTCCTTGCTTATGAGGAATGATTATACTGGTTTTGTTTCAGACCTCTGACCTGGATGACTCCTCCTCCAGAGATTCCCAGGAAGTGAGTAGGGTGCCTTGTTTACCTTTCACTTTCCGTCTGGGATGATTTCTTGTTCCTCACCTGTGCTCAGTTCCCCAACTATCAGCAGTTTTCAATGGCTCAGGCTCATTTCAGTGATACCAAAAAGTCCAGAGGCAGCAAGACAGTGACAGAATCTCCCTGTGTCCTGAAGTTCTAAGTGTAGGACACAGTTATGGCATTAGTCAGCAAGATTTGTTGCGTCTAAGCAAATCAAGGGAATTGAATTATTTTGAATTGCTTTTAATTGTCTCTCTGGTGTGAGAACAGGTAAAAATAAGTCTTACCCTGGAGCCATCTGTAGTAAAGAGTTTTACTTAGTTCATAACTTCAGTGAGGGAGTGATTGTCACATTGTCTGGAGGCCAAAAGTATAAATGAGGACAAAGGAAGCTGGACCTATTAATGGAGGATAAATCCATGAGCAAATCTGTAACTCCTGGCTCAGTCTGCTGTTTGCTGGCAGCAACAGGGAGGGAGAAGTTGGTTGTCCTGGGTTTTATATTCCTTTATCTGTTCCTATAGACTGAGCGACAGTTCTGATGTTCTTGCTCTGTTTTTTGCCCCACAGCTTGTTCTTCACAGTCACCTGGATGAAGATACACAGATAGCAAAAAGTAAGGGGAAAACACTGAGTTTTGGAGAGTTCTGGAGAGGATACTCCATTCTGTTTTACTTTCCTGGAAAATCTAAATGATCTTTTCATTCATTGAGATGGGAAATTTTTCACTGAAACTAAACAGCACTGATCCAAAAAGGCTTTTTTTAATTATTCTAACTTGTTCAATTCAAAAATATATATTGTAACACCTGTTCACTACAGAAGGAGTTTCACCAAAATAGGGCCTGGTGTGAAGTGTCATGATATTCACAACTTGAGGAGCGGGGAAGAATAAATGATGGATAAAATAATGATTAACAAATTTCTCATAGGGGCCTCTGACATGATTATTTTAATGCAATGAGCAGAGGAGCTGCTTGGCAAAGGTTTTTTTTGCTGCTGCTTGAGTTGGAAATGGAAAGCTCTGTCTCTTTCTGAGCGTGGTGGGGAACTCCACCACTCTGGGAAAGATTCAGGGCTCAGTTAAAATGAGAAGTAACTTGTGATTGATCACAGGATGGAATTCTGAGTGCTTTGGGCTTGGTTTCAGTTCTGCTGTGGACTCTGTGCAGTTACATCACAGCAGTTGGAAGAGCTGCTGGAGAGAGAAGTTACTTTGCAATGGCAACTCTGACTAAAGCTATGATGTTTTTTATCTTTCAGAAGATTGCCTGGGAGTACAAAACCAGAAACTCAGCCCTCAAGAGAGCCATCTGCCCCCAAAATCACCAAGTGTAAGAGAATCTTTGTGGGCTCTTCTTTACTGTGATTGGGGTTTGGGATCTCTAATATTCTCATTAATGATGGATCTACCAGCTTGGAGAAGCAGGTCAGCAGCTCCTGCTTTTCCAAACTCTGAGCACTCAGTTTAGAATCCACCCTCCAAAAAGGGTGAGCTCCGAACAGGAAAACATTTACAGTGGACATTTCTCCATCTGTGCATAAAAGCTTCTTCTAATTACATTCTGCCCTTCATCTTTGGGTGGGGATGTTTTTGCAATTGTCTGCAGAATTACTGTTAGTGCAGAAAACAGACTCCCAGAATTGTAGATGTTGAGGGAATAGATGTAGTAAAACTGTGTTAAACAGAAGCATTACCATCCTGCACACACAGTTAAAAACCTGCTGGTACTTGACTCTGCAGATGTGGGAAGCAACCTGGTGTTAACACAGATCTGATCAAGAATAAATTCATATGATTTTGGTTTGTTTTTTTTCCATTTCAAGGAGTGTGGCTTGGCCAATGAGGAACTGGCAGAAAAGGAGAGGAAGAGGATGAAGGACTGCTTTGAGCGTTACCGAAGGTCTGGGCTGCAGTAAGCAGGGCTTATCTGGAAATATCCATGATTTGTATTTCCCTTTTCCTGTTCCCAACCTTGATTCATGGAGGGCATAAAATGAACCACAAAAGGGACTGACACATGCTAACAGTATGAAATGTCGCTTGTTTGTAGAAAACACTTTCTAAAAGTTGTATGTCTGGTCTTGTTTTCAGAAAAAGAGCAATGAGAAGGGCACCCAAAGACCGGCACCATGAGGTGGACTGGGAGAACTCCTCTGGCAGCGACAACACCGACACCGAGGGCTCCTGAGGGAGGGACAACACCGACACCAAAGGCCCCTCAGGAGCCAATCTGAGGGGCCACCAGCTTGTGTATAAGGGTGGCTGTGCCTCTCAATTTCACTCACAACGGACTGTTTAGATTTTAAAACCACCCAAAAAACCATTTCTGAAAAGTGCTCCAGTGACACTATTGCGTGGCTCCGACGCCCGCTTAATAAACAGGTTTAAATATCTGCGTGTGAGGCAGGGCCGGGCTGAGCTGCGAGTTAATTACGGGTTAATGAAGGGCATTGCCCGACACCCTCATGGCCGCCGCCCGCACCCAACATGGCCGCCGGTGCCTCAGGGCCCGCCCCGTGCGCATGCGCGGGGCCATGCAGCGTGCGCTGAGGGCGCTGCTCCGGGAGCTGCCGCCATGGCGGCAGCTCCCGGAG